TTCCCAGTTGCTACCCTCAGTGGCCCCATAGTTGCCTTCTGTGGCCCCGCATTATCTGCACTTCGTGGCCCCCGCTCGTTCGCGCTCTTCGTGGCCCCATACGCATTCCCTTCGTGTCCCCGCTGTCGCCCTTCGTGGCCTACTCCGTGCCCTTCGTGGTCCTTCTGTCGTTCTCTGTCGCTCTCGCTTTCGCTCGTGGTCGCCGTCGTCGTCGTCGTCGTCGTCGTCGTCGTCGTCGTCTTCGACGTCGTCGTCGTCGTCGTCGTTGTCGTCGTCGTCGTCGTCGTCGTCGTGGTCGGTCCCCTGTCCGTCCCTCTTGGGGTCGGGTCGGCGGTCCGCGGCCGTCCCGCCGATCAGCGCTGCCGCTGGCCAGGCCGACGGTCCGCGGCCGCCCCGCCGCTTGCCGGGGCCCGGCCTGCAGGGAAGAAAGGTATAGCCCCCCAAAGGGGTTCGATCGGAGACGAAGACGGCGGGTATCGAGGGTTTGGGAAATAAGCGTTATTGGACAGTCGAGCATATAAGGGCGAACGCTCTCAAAATTATTTCTGTTGTTGTTGTTGTTGTAGTAATGGTACGGGATGGTGGGCCTGCACGCAGCAGGCAATTTGTCAAAACCGAATCAACGTGATCGCGGGGCGTCCGCGCAAGATCCAGATTTTGGTGCAAAGTGCACATTGCTTTTTGCGGTGTATAGTTGGAGGGGTGTTAGGATTGCACACATCAAGCAGTATGCCAGCGCCCCCGCCACGGCCAAGGACCAATGCAAAGTGATCGCGGGGCAACCGTGCATGATCCAGACTTTGGTGCAAACTGCATTTTGTGGGATGGGGGGATGCTGTCATTGCGCGCAGCAGGCAATATGCAACCCCGCCGTCCCTGTGACAAACCGATGCAAAGTGATCGTGGGGCGTCCGCGTATGATCTAATCGTTGGTGCAACGTGCATGTTTCAATTTTAAACCAGTGTTGGCATTGTCCGGCGTTGTTGCCAGTCGGATGGGGGAAGGGGTGTATATTCATAAGGAGCAGTGGTGAGTCTCTCCCCGAAGGAGGAAGAGAGATCATGGAAGGGGAAACGCGCTAGACCACCTCCACCCAGAGGGCTGGTGGGATACAGGTTGTTTTCCCGTGCGCGATGTGCGCCGCGTTTCATTCCTGCCACGCATTGATGTCGAACGTGCAAACGTCGATCATGAACGGGGACACGTCGTTTTCGAATCGTCTTGTGGTTCGCAAAATAAACCGCCCGCTTCCAGAATTTTGTGGGGTGGGAGTGGTTCTGATAGTTGAGGGTCGTTTCAGGATGTGATGACTGGGTCCCCGAGGTCATCTGCAGGGTTCCGACGAGAACCGCGCTTCGCGCGTCGAGTCCTGGGTCGGAAACCTACACTTCTTTCACGGGGGTTGCGAGAGGGCGCGAAGATAACCATGCCTCGTGCTCTGCGCGGTGCGAAACGCGAAGCTAGGAGAACCAGGTCCCGTGGCCAGTCTTTTCGTGTGTTGCCAGGGGTGACTCTGACCCAAGGAGATCCCATCTGTTCCAGGAGGCTTCCAGAACATCCCTCGCATGGCCCACGGGCCCAGAGGGCCCCCCCGGGCCGCAAAATGGCGGGAAAGGCTGAGCAGCCCTTCTGCAAGGGCCACCTCTGACAGCACCCAAGGAGGAGGAGGGAGCGACCTTCTCCTACAGCAGGATCCTTCCGTTGGCGACGTCGGCTCTGGTCTCTGTGGCGGGGCGCACAAGGGGGTGGCGCGAGGGGAACGACCCTCTAAGAAGGCGGTGGGGCTTCTTGAAAGGCAGGGGCCTTCTGAGAGGAGAGGGGCCTTTGAGGAGGCAGGAGTCTTCTTGGAAACTGGCGGCCGTCTCGGAAGGCGCGGGGGGGAGGATTCTCGGAAGGCGATGGTGGCCTCTAGCGCTCTCCTGCCCCTGCTGCCAGCGTCTGGGCCCGTCGGGGCCGCGCCTCCGTCCTGCCCAGCCGACCACCCCGCTCTGTGCGCGGCCCCTTGGCGACGCTTTGCGGACCGGGTCGCGCCGAGAAGCAGACGAACTTCATGGTCGGGGTCAGCGATGCCGTGGAGATCGCGAGGCGGAGGCTGGCGGGCCACCAGGAGCCCTCCTTGGGAAGGGATGAACCCAGGCCACTCTAGCGTGATGACAAAAAATACAAGCCGATGTTTTTTGTCGCCGTTCTCGGCCTCTGAGGGGGCCCTCGCCGGGCCCCGGGGCCGTAAGAACCGGCTGGGGACGAAGGTCCAGTCCTGGGGATAGGGTCGGGAATTTGGGGACCGCGTATTTACAATATCGAGATATCGGACCTCTTGGAAGGATGTCCTCCTGGCCTCCTCCTGCTTCTCCCTGGTCTGTTATTCTTGGACGCTGAGGTACGCGCGCCAGTGGACGAGCTCCGGGAGGCTGCCCCCGCTGTCCTCCGGGGAGGAGGCGGCGCCGCAGCACTAATGCCGCATCGTCTGGTCATTTTGCGGGTGGGGAACGGGACTGCTGCAGCATGAGGCAGCATGAGCCCATGATCCCAGTGCGGATCAGCATAGTTATTATTTAGCATATCGCCACAGGATGGCAAGCACTCTTAACTGTTACACAGGCCTCACTGGAAAACGACGTAGGCACTGCGGTCATCGCCTACCTCGGGAAGGTGGATGGATAGTCCAGATGCGGAGAGCTACTCGGACATGATTGAGGTTCGCACTGTACACGAGCAAGAGAGTCTCTTCGCCGCGGCGTTCGGCACCCACCAGTACGTCTTGATCGCAGGACAATCCTATACAGTTTTCCCAGCGGTACTATCGTATAAGCGAACTCACGCAAGCATGGGCATCCCGAGAACAGTACAAACTCACCTTGACCGAAGAGCGGATGCTGTCCCGGCGAGACTACGACGGCAGGCGGACCACCTACATTTCTTAACGTCCACGGCCACGGACCTGCAGGGAGTATCTGTTGGACCAGTTCAAGCCCGCAGCTTGACCTATCAACGCGGGGACGATGCGCGGATTACGACAATCAGGATGCCCTTCGGGGGACAATACCTCGAGACTGGGATTGGCTATGGTGGACTTCGCCTCCGAGTCAAGGTATGACCACCAGATCGATGTGGGCTCGACCCGGGGGGTGGTCAGTCCCCTGCGACACCCATTACGTAGGGATGCAGGCCCCCCCGTCCAATCGAGGATGATATTAGCAGATCGTACGGGAGTGTCACCAATATATGCCATGGTTCTCGGGCCTACCAGGAGGTCTCAGCGTCGCCTCAAAGGGAAGCCACCTGGTGTCCAGAGGTGCATTTGGCACCATGGGAAGCTGTGCTCAGATGTCTTTTAGCAGGAGGCAGAGCATGCATACATGCCCCCTGTAGAAATAATCGAACAACACACGTTGCACCAAACATGGCTCCACTTAGTGTTCCCGTCTTCCGCGGACCTCATGCTTTCCAATTCTAGCGCTCCAGGAGAAGTTACAATACGAGGCTACCGGGCACGGCAGAGGCTCCCGACGCGCAGAACCGTCCACGTGGGAACCAGCACCAGACGACGAGAACACCCAGCCGAAACTCGCTGCTTTCGTTCGGTCTCTTCAGCGGAATACTAGTGCGGAGCGGAGTACACCCGATTGGAGATCTATGTGGGACCGTTGGACAGACATACGCCGCCGATTGGACAGATTCGCTGCGGCGGTCAAAGACCTGTGGTTACTCAATGCCAACCATCTGCATGCGGAATTCTCAGAGTTGTGTGCCAATTCCATGATTCGGGTGGCCCTTTCTTGTCGACAGGAGAGGCACGAAAGCGATCGGGCCCCGCGTCGCACCAGCCGTTTCATGGCTGAGCGCGACCGTCGCTGGTAGCCTTGCAGGGTCAAGCGCAGTAGGGTGCAGAGCTTGCAGTCTTCAGGTTGGCCTTCCTGTCCTCAGAGTCTCGGAGGCAGCCGATCACAATCGATGGCTCATGCGACCGTGTGTGCTCTGCGGCTCCGAGGCCCTCAAAGGTTGTGCGGGCGTAATCCGAGGAGACTGCCAACCGCGCGCCGCCCAGCTTTCCAGGGAGATACGCATCTATTATGCTGTGGATCTCATCCCATCCGAACAGTGGCTGCCAAGGAGGGGGCGCCAGTCTGTGGGACCTGCTTTGGTGGTGCAAACACGTGCTTTGCTTGCAGGGGTTTTCGTTGGGTTTGCCCCCCCCCCCCCCCCCCCCCCCGTGGAAGAACAGGCTCGGCAGCGCCGAAATTCGTGGCAATTTCGTTGCTTCCGTCTGTGCTGCGCGGTGCGGGAGGCATATCACAGCACGGCACGTGTTGCAGCATGCAGTGAGTCGTTGGCGCGATTCTTGTTGTAAGAAGGGCCGGCACACCCAAAAAATAGCACAGGGGCGTGCGGTGCAGATTTGAGCCTATTTCCGTGCAGCATTTGCTGTGTTGCATCTGCCCTGGAGAGTAACGGTCTGGACGGGCCGAGTCTGCCGGGGAGGGAGAAACGTAACGAATTTCCCCCCCGCGAGGTAGCATAATAACTTTAAGACCTTTGGGCCGCAGCTAGGTGGCCGGATGGCCGTCGCCGCCGCGCGACCGTTTAGGTTGCCACAGTGATTGCGTACAGGCTCTGACCATAGGTGCGTAGCAATGCCGCCTCTGGTCAGAGCAGGGGCGTGTAGCAATGCCACCCCGCCGTAGGTGTGTAGCAAGGCCACCTCCGGCACTAGGACAGCTTATGTCCGGAACTGTTTGGCTCAAGGCCCACGCGGCGCGATGGGCAAGGAAAAAGAAGCTCGCAAACCCTCCACTCAGCAGTCCAGGCTGTATAAACGCTTACTGATATCAACAGATACATTGGTGTGCCGAGCGCTCCGGACCCGAAGCATAAATAACGGGAGGTTGACCCGGCCACTCCCATTGAGCAGAAAAGAGGCCATCCGACTATTGACCGAGATCGCCGAGTTAAGATGGATTCCAGAGGTGCCGGAGCATACAGAGTAGAACCAGGAACAATGGATTCCATCGGGGACTCGTTCGCGGGGCCGGTCGACAGCAGAGCCCTGCAAAGGGTTATGAGCCCAACGACTGCCACGATCCACGGCGCGCAGTTGGGGGCGCAGGTGCGCCAGTGCGCCGCCTGCTTCGACTACGTCGTGGGGCCCGCCGTGCAGTGCGACAATTGCGGCGGGGTTGTGCACCCCCACTGCATGCAGGTGTTCGGGCGGAGCCCTGTGTGCGTGACCTGCATCGCTGAGCGGGACGCCTTCGTGGCTGCGAGGCGCTCCACGATGATCCAGCACGGCGCGCAGCAGTTCGGCCGCGCGCTGGCTTCTGGTGGGCAGCTTGCCGGCCAGGTCGTCGGTGCGACCGCCTTCGGGCTTGGGGCCGGAGTTGCCCGACTCGCCAGCGGAGTGTTGGCCGGCGCGAGGCAGACCATGGGCGGCGCGGCCGAGATCCCGGGGCCTGCCCGCCCACGCGTGCTGCCTGCGCTGCAGCCCGCGGACGGCGCCGACCCTCCTGGAGTTCAGCAGTTCGGCACTGACATGGCCGAGAGGGTGGCCGCCATGGAGGCGGAGCTGGTCAGGCTCCGCGCGGAGAACGCGCAGTACCGTGAGGAGTTCGAGTTGCACCTGTCCGGAGGCGGCGGCTACGCGACCCCAGGCGCGAGCAGCGCCGCGGGTCGGCCAGCCCCGACGACTCCGCAGCCGACGAGCGCGGCTGCCGCCGGCGAGATCGACCAGGGGGGCTCCGATGATGCAGTGCCCCATCTCGCCGAGCTTGTGCTGTCTGATATTCCCGGAGGCCTCTCCGGGAACATTTCGGCCCGAGGGCCCGCCGACGTCGTCGAGCTCTCCGCGGAGGCCGCGAACGCTTCCGAGGTGCAGCAGCGTGCAGTCCCAGGGGCAGGAGCCGTGAGCGGAGAGCAGGCGGGCGTGATGAACGTCGCGGGCTTGCATGGGGCCACGGCGCAGCCCGCGCCGAGCGCCGCCGTTGGCGGCAGCAGCCTTCCTGCTGGCGGCGCGGCCCTCGCAGCTGAGGCCGTCCTCCCGCCTGGTCTTGGCGCCGCGTCCTGGCCGTGGTCATCGGCTAGTGCGCCTGGAGGAGGACTGCCAGCAGCAGGAGGAGAAATGTCAGGAGCCGCAGGCGGAGGATGCCAGCATCCTCAGCAGCCCCAGCAACCCTGGTCCACCCCTAGAGCTGCAGCAGCGGCGGCCGCACCGCCGCAGTTCGGTGGACTCGGGCTGCGCGGTGCCGGCGGGCCTCCGCCGCCGCCGCCGCCGCCGCCGCCGTTCGGCGCCGCGGCGGCCGCTGGCGACTTCGCCGGGGGTGCGAGCCCTGCCGATGCAGCAGGTCTGGCTGCTATCCCGAGCCGTCTGAAGGGGGACGAGGTGCCCAAGCTTTCCTGGACAGGAGGGAGCAACAAGGCGTCAAAGTACGAGGAGTGGCTGCAGACGAGCACCCTCTACTGCGCCTCGGTGCACCCGCAGGTCGAGGCCTGGTGGTGCAACCTGCGTGCAGCGGTGGACGCATCGTACGACGAGTACTTGCGCGTGGACCCGCTGCAGCGGCCGTGCATCTGCCCGCAGACGTCGTGGGCGGAGGTAGGAGCGCATAGGCAGGTGGAGTACACATACCGGCCCTACCTGCTCCAGGCGGTGCCCGAGTCCATTAAGACCCAGGCGCTCGCCACCAGGCAGCTGACCTGCAGCGAGCTCGTCTTCGCCGTGTGCGTCGAGGCGGGCCCGGGCACCTTGCGGGACAGAGCTGCCACATTGAAGGCAGTGGGGCGCCGTGGAAATCCGGCTGTGCCGGCCCGCGGGGAGGTGTACGTCGAGCTGCAGAGGTGGAAGTTTGACCTCGCCAGGCTGCAGCGCCTTGGGGCTGTCGCCCCAGACCCCACCATCCAGCTCACCACGCTGCGCACGCTGGTGAGCAAGATGGCCGAGGCCGACGAGGACTTCAAGTTCCGGATGAGCAACTGGCAGCTCGTGAGGGGCCTCAGTGGCGCTGCGAGTTGCAGCCAGTCCCAAATCGACGAGTTCTGGCGCTTCCTGGCCGGCGAGGCCCGCGAGGTTTCCACCGACGGTGCGAAGCAGCAGCAGCAGCCGCAGCAGACCCAGCAGCTGGGAAAGCAGGTGCAGGCGAAGGTCGCAACGCTGGAGGCCCAGATTGCCTTGATCAAGGGGGCTGGCAAGGGCGGCGGCCCGCCGCTGAAGCCCGGCCCCAAAGCCAAGGCTGGCGCGCCCCGTGGATGGGGGGCAGACTGCAGGCCAGGAGAAGGGCAAGGACGCGGAGCCGCCGAAGTTCTGCAAGTTCTTCGAGTCCGATGCCGGATGCAAGCAGGGCGGCGCGTGCACGTGGCCGCACCGCAAGCTGCAGGCCAGCGAGGGGAAATGTTTCAATTGCGGGAGCAAGGGGCACCCCAAGGACGCCTGCACGCGCCCGAAGCGCGAGGCGACGGCCAAGGCAGCAGAGGTTGCCCTGAAGCCTGGAGGTGGTTCTGCCTTGGCTTCGGACCCAAGCGGCGCTGGTGCGCAGGCGCAGCCTGCGGCGCAGGCGGGCCAGCTCGGCGCTGTGGTGGCAGCGACGATCAAGGCTCTGGCAGGCGAGGGATCGCCGGGCGCTGCGCTGGCCATCGCGTCCGTGGACGCGGACCCCGGGTGGCTGGACAGATGGGCGACATCGCCGGCTCCGGCGGCAGGCCCGCGCGCGGCGGTAGCCGTGGCGCGCTTGGTGAAAGTTGGCGGCAAGCGGATGCTGCTCGCCGACACGGGCGCCACGCGCGAGCTGCGCTCGATCCCTGTGGGGGGTGACCCTGGGGTCGAGTCGCGGCGCGTCGATCTCCAGACGGCGACGGGGAGCATGGAGGCCAGGATGGGAGGAGACGACGTGGTGTACGTCGAGTCCGATACCCCTCTTCAGCCGCTCTTCCCGCTGGGGATCTACATCGAGGAGTGCGGGCTCGGGCTCGAGTGGGCGCCTGAGGCTTGCGCGCTGCGGCTGCCAGACCACAGAAGTTTGGAGTTGCAGCGCGTGGAGGGCAGTATCTACATCGCGGAGGACGATGCCGAGGTGCTGCGGCAGCTTCGCGCTGCTGTGCGCTTGGCGCGCGGTCGCGCCATGGTGGCCTCGGCGATCAGGGCCGCAGTCTCGCTGGCGGAGCTGGCGAAGCACCGAGCAGACGGGCGCCCCACCTTCATGGCGGAGTGCCGCGAGTGCAGGCTCGCCGCAGGGCGCGTGCGCCCGCGCTACCGACTGGACCCGGCGACTCGGCCAGGAGGCCAGCTTTCGGCTGACCTGAGCGGCCCCCACCCGCCTGGGCGATGGCCGAGTTCGCTGCAGGAGGACGTGCCCAGGCGGGCAAGGTACTTCCTGCTCTGCGCGTACCAAGTGCTGACGCCAGCCGAGGTGGCGCAGCAGGGCCGCAACATCGCGGGCGCGAGGGCGGCCGTGGCGGATGGCGACGCCGTGCCGCTTGCCGAGGTCAGCGCCGGCAGCGCCGGGGCCAGCGGCAGCGCTGCTGACGGCGACGCCCGCGTGGAGGCGGACGACTCGGAGCCGAAGGTGTGGTATTTCACCGTCCCGCTGGAGGGCAAGACGGTCGAGGAGTGCATCAGGGCGCTGGACGCCGTGGTGGCGGCGATCGGGCTCGAGTTCCAAGGGCAGGCGGTCTTCCGCATTCATGCGGATCGCGCCTCGGAGCTTTCGGGGCCGCGCGTGCGTGGCCACTTCGCGAAGAAGGAGATCGTGGTCACCAGGGCGCCGGGCTTCGAGTCCAACAACGACCCCCGCGCAGAGCGCGGCATCGGCGTCATCAAGGGCCGCGCGAGGGCGATGCTGATGTCCCTGCCGGCTGCCGATCAGCAGTGGCTCTGGCCAGCTGCCGTGCAGCATGCGAGCTGGTGCCAGCGGCGGGGGGCCATGGGGCGGGCGATCGCCTGCCCAGCATTCGGGAACCCCGTCACGGCCAGAGTCAAGGACCCCCCCAAGGCCGGCTTCGCGGCGCGAGGCAAGGAGATGATCTTCCTGGGCAGGGAGGACCATACCTCCGGCGGCTATTTGCTGGGTCGGAAGGTGCCGGGCGCCAGGAAGGGCGAGGAGTGGAGCTTCGAGGTGTCGCTCCTTCGTGGTCGACGTCTCGGCCGTGCACCCGAAACCTGCGGTGGGCGACGCCGGAAGCAGCGCCGCCCGTGGAGGTCGCCCTGTTGCCGCCGCGGCGCCAGGGAACCAGGGGGAGGATGAGGCCCAGGAGGAGGATAAGCAGGCGGAGGAGGAGGAGGAGCACGCAGAGGACGCAGCAGCACCAGGAGGAGGCAGCGGCGACAACATCTTCGAGGCGCAGTTCGAGGAGCAGATCTTCTCGTGCCCGGCGTGCCGGGGCCGTCATCGACCCCGCGCCCGAGACGAACGGTGCCGCCTCGGAGCGCATGCAGCGGCGGCGACGCCGGCGACGAGGAGCCAGGAGGAGGCCGAGGCACCAGAGAGGAGGAGGCATGAGGAGTTCGAGCAGCAGACGCGGAATGTCCCCGGAGAGGCCTCCGGGAACATCGAGGACGCAGGCTCGCTGATTTCGAGGGTCGCTCCGGCAGTCAGGTCGCCGGGGCAGGCGGCGCTGGCAGTTGCTGGGCAGCGCGGCGTTGCTGCTCGTGCTCGGGATCTCTGCCGCCGATTTCGACCGCCCGGGGCTCCGGGTACTCCAGTGAGTCTCTTAGTGTACCACGACGCTATGAACATGCGCATTCCCTTCGCGGGCGCAGCCAGGATGGCCGAGGAGGAGGCGGATGCGGAGCAGCAGGAGGACGATGACGCCCCTCCGGAGTTCCATGACATCGTGAAGGACTCCGGCATGCAGGTGGTGTCGAGCAGGGACTTGGCCAATGAATTCGGCGCGGAGCGCGAGGGGTGGAAGATCGCGATGGCCGCCGAGTTAGCTTCAATGGAGGAGAAGGGCACCTTCCACGAGCTCTCGTCTGCTGAGTCCTGCGCCGTGCCAGCGAGCAAAATTATGCCCATGATGTTGGTGCCCGGGATTAAGCCTCCTGACGAGGCGGGCTACCGTCGCAAGAAGGTGCGAGGTGTGGCATGCGGCAACTTCCAGAAGAAGGACCCGACGGAGGAGCTGTACACGGCCAACGTGGACATCAGCTCCGTCCGCACCGCAATCGCTGTAGCAGCTCACCGGGGGTGGGCAATCGGAGCATTGGACGTCGCGACGGCGTTCCTCAACGCCGATCTCCCCGCGAGCAGCGTCGAGGTTATCTTGCGGCCGCCGGCGTTGTTCGTCAAGTACGGGCTGGTGAAGCCTGGAGTGTTGTGGCGTGCAGAAAAGGCCATTTACGGCCTCAGGATCGCGCCGCGTGCCTGGGCTCTCAGGCGCGACAATGACTTGCGGGCAATGGTCTTCGACTACGCTGGCGAACCAGTCCGCCTGAAGCAGAGCACCGTCGACCCCGCCGTCTGGGCGATCGTGCCGGTGGCGGAGCCCCGCGTGGAGAGTGAGCGCCGCGTGATGGGTTACCTCCTCAGCTACGTCGACGACTTCCTGCTGACTGGGCCTCCGGCGCTGATCACAGAGCTTGAGGACAGGCTCAAGAGGACCTGGAAGTGCACCACCCAGACGATGATCAGCCCGATCGCACCTGGGGAGTTGCGGTACCTATCCTTGACGATCGAGGCGCGCTCGGACTGCTATGCGGTGCGCCAGAAGGAATACGTCGAGGACCTCCTGGCGAAGTGGGGCCTCGACAAGGGGAACTCGGTGGGGGCCATCTCCATCGAGCCCCTCCTGGACGACCAGGAGGAGAATGCGGACCCCGACATTGCCGACGCGCGGCTGGCGCAGCGCATGGCTGGAGGGCTGCTGTGGCTGAGCGGGCGCACCAGGCCAGACGCTGCTGTCGCTGTGAGCCGCCTTGCGTCGCAGGCCGCCTTAAACCCGCAGTGGGCGCTGAGGCTGGGGAAGCGCATCCTTCGTTACCTCGCCGGCACTCGCTCCCATGGCTTGGTGTTCAAGCCGCAGGGCGAGGCCATGAAGCTCGAAGTCTACGCGGATGCGAGCTTTGAGCCCGAGGTCAGCCAGACAGGCGTCAGTACGTTTCTCGGAGGCTGCCTGGTGGACTGGAGGTCTTGCAAGCAGCCCCAGCCAGCGCGAAGCACGGCAGAGGCCGAAATAACCGCGCTGAGCATGGGCTGCGTGATGCTCGAGGGAGCCGAAGCTGTCCTCGGCAGCATGGGCATCAGGCCATCTTCCGTGCAGATGTGGGGCGACAATTCTGCTCCCCTCTGCGTTGCCACTGGGCAAGGCTCCTGGCGCACGCGCGCTCTAGCCAACCGCGCCAGTGCCCTTCGAGCCCGCACTCAACAGGAGACGTTGTCCTTGGGTTTCGTGGGCACTCAGGATCAGCGGGCCGACGGCCTCACCAAGACATTCAGTGTCCCGGGAATGCAGCAAGTGAGGAAAGCATTAGGGCTGCGAGCATTGTAATGAGTGCGCGCAACTGTCGCCATTGACTTTTTGTTAATTTTCCAATTGAATTGTTTGGGGCCCGTGCCTCGCCCGTTCCTCCAAGGCCGGAGGCCTAGACCCCCTTGCGGCGTTCGATTTGACACCGCCGCCGCGGGGGAGGAGGAGCGTGGAAGAACAGGCTCGGCAGAGCCGAAATTCGTGACAATTTCGTTGCTTCCGTCTGTGCTGCGCGGTGCGGGAGGCATATCACAGCACGGCGCGTGTTGCAGCATGCAGTGAGTCGTTGGCGCGATTCTTGTTGTAAGAAGGGCCGGTGCACACAACAAATAGCACAGGGGCGCGCGGTACAGATTTGAGCTTATTTCCGTGCAGCATTTGCTGTGTTGCATCTGCCCTGGAGAGTAACGGTCTGGACGGGCCGAGTCTGCCGGGGGGAGAAACGTAACGAATTTCCCCCCCGCGAGGTAGCAGAATAACTTTAAGATCTTTGGGCCGCAGCTAGGTGGCCGGATGGCCGTCGCCGCCGCGCGACTGTTTAGATTGCCACAGTGATTGCGTGCAGGCTCTGACCATAGGTGCGTAGCAATGCCGCCTCTGGTCAGAGCAGGGGTGTGTAGCAATGCCACCCCGCCGCAGGTGTGCAGCAATGCCACCTCCGGCACTAGGACAGCTTATGTCCGGAACTGTTTGGCTCAAGGCCCACGCGGCGCGATGGGCAAGGAAAAAGAAGCTCGCAAACCCTCCACTCAGCAGTCCAGGCTGTATAAACGCTTACTGATATCAACAGATACATTGGTGTGCCGAGCGCTCCGGACCCGAAGCATAAATAACGGGAGGTTGAGCCAACCACTCCCATTGAGCAGAGAAGAGGCCATCCGACTATTGACCGAGATCGCCGAGTTAAGATGGATTCCAGAGGTGCCGGAGCATACAGAGTAGAACCAGGCACAATGGATTCCATCGGGGACTCGTTCGCGGGGCCGGTCGACAGCAGAGCCCTGCAAAGGCCCCCCCCCCCCCCCCCTTTCGCGCCATCCCTCGCGGCTTTTCGCTGCGCGTTGCCGCCGAGGGATGGCGCGCATCCAGCCCCTCGAAGGATTTTGGTGAGCCCGCGTGTGGATTGTGGCCTGGCAGCGACGGCAGGGTGCTGGGGCTGCTGGGCCAGCGGGAAAATGTTTAGTGAAGTATGGGTTCCCCGGCAGTGTGCGCCGTTGCTCACTATGTGCAGCGCGAAGGAGGGCGAATGTCATATCTGCCTTGGCCCAGTTCGCTTTTCCGTATTTCAGCCGCTCAATAGTTCCCAGAGGAGGGGGGCCCAGGCCGACAGGGCGTTCGCGGTCTCCAGTCGCCTCGTGGCTTGTCCCGCGGGATTGTTGGCGGGACTTGCCTTTTTTCTTTCGTCGCCCCAGGCGTAATGACCTCTGGTTGTGCGGCTGGCCCGCGCCAAGTGGCTGTCTTCCCGGCGTTCGGCCGCGTTTGCCCTGCCTACGCCGCCCATGTTTTTATCTTGGATTTGGATCGTTGCGCTCCATTCGCGTGTTGTGGCGCCTTCCGTTGGTCTACTGGACCTGGCGGCGGCCTCGTCGCCTCTTGCCGAGCTGGGTCGCGGGCCGGCTTGGCCGCGTTTTTTTTTTTGACGTGCTCCCCAGGCTTCGGCTTGGAGTGGGTCGCTTCTCTGCGCCATCCTGCCCTCCGTTAGCCAGTCTCTGTATTGCTTTGCCGCCGTGGGCGGTGGACTTTTGGTTGTCTGGCTCGTTGTCTCGCCGTGGTGTCTCGGGGGCGCGGTCTGGCGGTGCCTCGCGCCTCTCGTGCTGACCAGGGCGCTGGCGTTCTTGCGCGCCCAGGGGTGTGCGCGGCTATTTCCGCGGGCGCCGCTCGTGGGCGGCTTCCATTTCCGTTTGGCAGCTTGCCCAGCGGTTGCTTCGTCGCCTTGCTGTTTGCGCCTAGGCATGGGGTGCTGGCCGGCATGGCCGCGGCCAGTTAATTTTTTTCGCGTCTGCGTCGCTTCTGGGGTGCGCATCCACGCCTGGGGCTGCAGTTCGCATCTTGCTGTTTTCTGCTGTGTGTCAGCTTGGTCGCCTGCGTTTCGCGTTGGCGTAGCCCGGTGGCGGGTTTGCTCTATATGTTATGTTTGGTTTCTTACTTTGTCGCCTTTGCTCGGAGTGGTGCGACCCTGCGTTTGCTCGTGCAGTTTCTCTTGTGCTTATATGGTTGTCCTTCTGTCGTTTCGGCTCCACCTGCCCATGGTAGCCCTCGCGGTAATGGCTGCGGTGGGGTTGCTTTTCTAGCGGTTGCGTCCGCCTTGCGCGTTGGCCGCGCGCGCCTGTCCACCGACCGTGAATTTGCCTGGGCTGCCCTCCGCCCATGCGCGCCACCGCGTGGAGCGGTTGCTGCTCGCGGTCGCCCGCGTTCATATTTATTGTTTGGGTTTTTCGTCTAGGCCATGTCTGCCTCGGGCGCGTGTGTTTCACCGCGTCATTTGTGCGGCGTTTTGTCGTGTCTGTTGCGAGGCCGGTTGCGTCGCCTTGTCGCGCAGCTGCGCGCTGTGCGTCGCCGCCAGGCTGGCTGGTCTGGCAGCATTGCAGTTATTTCTTCGCCTTTCTGGCTAATTCGCACCAGTCGGCAGCTTGCGCTTCAACTGCTTGCC